AATATATCATTATTCATCTTTAACTCAAGATTTTTATAGAGATTAATATCAACTTGGGTAAAATTCGAGAATTAGGATTATAATAATCATGTTTTATTGCCTCATGGTACGAAGTATATTTTGTTTGGAGTCTCGAGACTGTTTACGACCGTTGGGGCACCTTAGATGCATCATTGGTGATTCTTGGGCACAATTTACTTTGTTCCTAATTTAGCAGTGAAAGACAACAACACGTACCGTCAACTCTTGGGTTACACTTTTACCAATAAATATAGGGGATTGATCGTTACATTGTAACACCCCCACAGCTGAAATAGTGAGTATGTTCGGCGATGGGGATTCGAACGCGCGTCCCGCAGATTGTGAGTCGAGCACCTTAACCACCATGCTCTGCCAGCCGTGAGGTATACTTGTAACAGTCTTAAAATGGCAGTAAATAGTTTTGGAAATCAAATTTTGCGTGTAAAAATATTTGGTGTGTGTTAAAACTGAAGTGAATCATTTTAGATTTACGTTAAAGTTTGTTGCTTAAATGTTGCTTTATAAACTCAACCAACTGGGACAGAGTTCAGCAGTGAACGTGTATGTTTTACTGTTTGATATTAATCAGGCCTTGATATATTTGTAATATTATTAGTTATTAGTTCCGCTAGTTTAGTTCAACTTAAACACCGTTTAAAAATTAACGGCTGATGTATATCAAGTTCCAAAATTTTCGTTAACCAATTCAATTGGCCCGGCATGGCCAGGTGGTTAGGGCGCTCGATTCGCAATCTGCGGGTCGCGGGTTCGATTCCCCGTCACATCAAACATGCTCGCCCTTTCAGCCGTGGGGGCCTTATAATTGACGGTTAATCCCACCATTCGTTGGTAAAAGAGTAGCCCAAGAGTTGGCGGTGGGTGGTGATGATTAGCTGCCTTCCCTTTACTCTTACACTGCTAAATTAGGGACGGCTAGCGCAGATAGCCCTCGTGTAGCTTTGTGCGAAATTCAAAACAAACAAACAAACCAATTTAATTTTACTATCATTATATCTGATCTGTTTGACAAAAGAAAAGTGTATAATAGTTGTTGTACTGATAACAATACTCAAGGAAATTTATGCAAAAATACCTTTTGCTAACAATACTCAAGGAAATTTATGTAAAAATACCTTTTGCTAACAATACTCAAGGAAGTTTATGTAAAAATACCTTATTAAATACGCGTATTAATGTTGTGCTGATAACAATACTCAAGGAAATTTATGTACCTTTTGCTAGTGAATACCTTATTAAATACGAAAAAATCGTATTAATGTTGTGCTGATAACAATACTCAAAGAAGTTTATGTAAAAATACCTTTTGCTAGTGAATACCTTATTAAACATGAAAAAATCGTATTAAATTTCAAATTAATTGAACATTATTTTTATCACTCTTTCGTATACTTAAATAGTTTTTTTTTTAGAAATTTCCTCCTCATATTTTGAGTAAAAGAGGTAAATGTTTACACATACGTAAATTATTTCGTGGCTTTACTACATTTAGGTAATGTTTGCAAGTCATAAATTCTTTTTACATATATCTATCCCTTGTCTATGCTTTTGGTAGAGTAGTTGTGTAGAGTTAATCTGTAACAGTATATTGTCCCCAAATAATTTGGGTAAATATAAATGCGAAGAGAAACATGGTAAGATATTTGAATATTAATTAAAATGTCTTAATTACGCATCAAAGAGAGAAGGCTTGTGTAGCACAAATAATGGGGTTTTAATGTTTGTTTTTCGTTGTAATAGTATATTGTCCCCAAATAATTTGGGTAAATATAAATGCAAAGAGAAACATGGTAAGATATTTGAATATTAATTAAAATGTCTTAATTACGCATCAAAGAGAGAGAAGGCTTGTGTAGCACAAATAATGGGGTTTTAATGTTTGTTTTTCGTTGATCTAGAATGAAAAGGCCAAACAAGTCAAACACTCACAAACCAAACAAAAACAGGAATTGAACAAGAAGTATATCTGTATATATATATATATATATATATATAGTGTAAAGGAGCTAGTACGTGGAGTCGAAAACCAATTTGGAATGTTCAGAAATATCATCCATCGATGTATGACCAAGCACTTTCCAAGCAGCAGAGTGGATTAGTTGTTCTGAGACTAATCATCTGTGACCTTTGATATCAGGCTTATTGTTCAAGCTTATCTAGACACGTGAAAGATGGAAAGCAATATATTCAAAGACATATTCCCAGTATTAAATGGGTGTTTGAGTTTCTGAAACTACACGATTATGCTTTAGTTCAACTAGTTTTTCAAAACATTAAAAGATCAATGATTAAAATGCTTTAGCTCAAGGATTTGTCAGAATATTAAAAAATCAATAACGATCAAATTCCTTTAGCTGAAGTGTTTGTCAGAAAATTAAAAGATGAATGACCAGAAGTGCCTTAGCTCAAGAATTTATTAGTGTATTAAAAGATTAATGACCAAAGTCCTTTATCTGAATGGATTTATCAGTACCTTAAAATATCAATGACCAAAGTACTTTAGCTCAACGGATTTATCAGTACCTTAAAATATCAATGACCAAAGTTATTTAGCTCAACGGATTTATCAGTACCTTAAAATATCAATGACCAAAGTCCTTTAGCTCAACGGATTTATCAGTACCTTAAAATATCAATGACCAAAGTCATTTAGCTCAATGGATTTATCAGTACATTAAAAGATCTATGGCCAAAGTCCTTTAGCTCAACGGATTTATCAGTACCTTAAAATATCAATGACCAAAGTCGTTTAGCTTAACGGATTTATCAGTACATTAAAATATCAATGACCAATCTCGTTTAGCTCAACGGATTTATCAGTACCTTAAAATATCAATGACCAAAGTCCTTTAGCTCAACGAATTTATCAATACATTAAAAGATCTATGGCCAAAGTCCTTTAGCTCAACGAGTTTGCCAATACATTAAAAGATAAGGCACAAAAAATAATAAGAGACACATTAAGCAATTACTTCTACAAGTTTCAAGAGATGTTGTTTTTTTTTTGCAAGAATGAACAACAGTCTGTTGTTGCGTCATCATCAGCAGCAAAAGCACTTCAAGAGAGTTTCATGTCCTCTCTGAAGGAAATATCACATGATGTCCTTCATCAAAAAGGCAAAGGAAGATTGTTTGTTTGTTTTGGAATTTC